CAGACTTCCTGTGGTGTGGACACGGTCTGGATACAGACTTCCTGTGGTGTGGACACAGTCTGGATACAGACTTCCTGTGGTGTGGACACTGTCTGGATACAGACTTCCTGTGGTGTGGACACGGTCTGTATACAGACTTCCTGTGGTGTGGACACAGTCTGGATACAGACTTCCTGTGGAGTGGACACTGTCTGGATACAGACTTCCTGTGGTGTGGACACGGTCTGGATACAGACTTCCTGTGGTGTGGACACAGTCTGGATACAGACTTCCTGTGGTGTGGACACAGTCTGGATACAGACTTCCTGTGGTGTGGACACTGTCTGGATACAGACTTCCTGTGGTGTGGACACGGTCTGGATACAGACTTCCTGTGGCCTCAACAACACAGGTAGTGTGGAGGATGGAAAGGCAAGCAGAAAGAGACGGGGGTGGAAACTTCTGCACAGAACCATGGGTCAGTGTCAAGGTTCTGAAACAGACTAATTAGTGCCCCAATGAACATCAGTGACCTCATTTCCTGTTGTTTCAACAAACAGCTGCTTAATGAGGACAGGTGAGACAGTTGTCTCACCCTCGAGGCTCGTACCTGCGTATAGAAGCCACTCGCAGACTCCAGGAACAGCGACAGGTTGGCCTGGACCTCGCTGCGGTTGGGGTTGGTCCGGTTCTTGGCCTGGCTCTGCAGCGTGGTGATCTGGTTCTTGAAGGCGTGGTTCCACCTGCAGAAGAACAAGAACAACACCATCAGGACCAAGTGGATCGGAACAGTCACACCAGAACATTGCAGTTTGGGTTTGATCTCTTGTTTATTGTTTTCCTTTTGTGAAACAAGTTTTATTTATTTGTAAACAATAAACAAAAATATGATTGTGTGGCGGTTCAGTGGGCGGAGCTTACAGGTCTTGCTCCACCTTCTTGTCCAGAGCGTACTCCAGGTCTGTCACCAGCATCTTCTGGTACAGGTCCTGCAGGGCCTGACGGGATGTCCAAACCTCTGCCGCCCCCAGAGTAGAGTCTGAGACAACGAGACACAAAGACATGAGACACAAACATGAGACACAGACAAACAGAGGACAGACAGGTTGTAGAAGCAGATATTCCTCATAACTTCTCATGAAACACATCTAAGGACACATTGTGTCTAGTTTTGGAGCAGAAACTTCATTTTGACAGTTTGAAGTTAATTTTTGTGACTTTCAAATCTCAGATTCTGAAAAAGATTTTAACTAAAACTTCAGACATGTTTGTTTACATTTAGACATTTGACAGAAACTGGTGCAGAAGAGGTTTTAGAAAATGACACGCAAGTCTGAACACATTTCATTAAAAAGTGGAACATTAACATGGAGTTGAAAAGCTCTGCATTTTCCAACAGTCCTTGAACATATCATACGTGATGAAAAACCTCATCAGATAAAAAAAAAAAACTAATTTAAGATAAAAACTGATTTTCTCTGATAAAAATTGATGAGAAACATCAGAAAAAACTAGTCAGCATTAAAACAACATATTAATAAAAATCCATCCATTTTCTTCCGCTTATCCAGGGTCGGGTCACGGGGGTAGCAGCCTAAGTAGGGAGGCCCAGACTTCCCTCTCCCCAGCCACTTGGGCCAGCTCCTCCAGGGGAATCCCGAGGCGTTCCCAAGCCAGCCGAGAAACAAAGTCCCTCCAGCGTGTCCTGGGTCTTCCTCTGGGCCTCCTCCCGGTGGGACGTGTCCGGAACACCTCACCAGGGAGGCGTCCAGGAGGCATCCTAACCAGATGCCCAAGCCACCTCAACTGGCTCCTCTCGATGTGGAGAAGCAGCGGCTCTACTCCGAGTCCCTCCTGGATGATCGAGCTTCTCACCCTATCTAAGGGAGAGCCCAGACACCCTGCGGAGAAAACTCATTTCGGCCGCTTGTATCCGAGATCTCATTCTTTCGGTCACAACCCAAAGCTCATGACCATAGATGAGGGTAGGAACGTAGATCGATCAGTAAATTGAGAGCTTCGCCTTTTGACTCAGCTCTCTCTTCACCACGACAGACCGGTACAGCACCCGCTTCACTGCTGACGCTGCACCTATCCGCCTATCGATCTCACGCTCCATTTTTCCCTCATTCGTGAACAAGACCCCAAGATACTTGAACTCCTCCACTTGGGGCAGGACCTCCTCCCTGACCCAGAGAGGGCACTCTACCCTTTTCCGGCTCAAGACCATGGCCTCAGATTTGGAGGAACTGATCTTCATCCCGGCCGCGTCGCATTCGGCTGTGAACCACTCCAGCGAAAGCTGCAGATCGTGATGGTGAGCACCTGGTGAACAGGGCTCTATCTGATGAAGCCAATAAGACCACATCATCTGCAAAAAGCAGAGAAGTGATCCTAAGGCCACCAAAACAGATCCCCTCAACACCTTGGCTGCGCCTAGAAATTCTGTCCATAAAAGTTATGAACAGAATCGGTGACAAAGGGCAACCTTGGTGGAGTCCAACTCTCACCGGGAACAAGCCCGACTTACTGCCGGTGATGTGGACCAGGCTCTGACACCAGTCATACAGGGACCTAACAGCCCATATCAAAGGGCCCAGTACCCCATACTCCCAGAGTACCCCCCACAGGGTTCCCCGAGGGACGCGGTCGAACGCCTTCTCCAAGTCCACAAAGCACATGTAGACCAGTTGGGCAAACTCCCACGCACCCTCCAGGACCCTGCTGAGAGTGTAGAGCTGGTCCAGTGTTCCACGACCAGGACGGAAACCGCACTGTTCCTCCTGAATCTGAGGTTCAACTATCTGACGGACCCTCCTCTACAGAACCCCTGAGTAGACCTTACCTTACACTAATAAAAATATAATAGATAATAAAACAGATGATAAATAACAAAACAGATGAATAAATATAATAATAAAACTGATTACTAAATAATAAACAATAATAAAACAAATGTATAAGTAATAAACAATAATAAAACATGTATAAATAATAATAATAAAACAGATTAATAAATAATAAACAATAATAAAACAAATTTATAAATAATAATAATAAAACAGATGAATAAATAATAAACAATAATAAAACAAATGAATAAATAATAAACAATAATAAAAACAAATGAATAAATAATAAACAATAATAAATAATAATAATAATCAGAAGATTTTTATGGACAGGACAAAACAAGGAACTCAGTGTCTCTTGCCCGGATGTGGGTTACCGGGGCCCCACCCTGGAGCCAGGCCTGGGGGAGGGGTTTGTTGGTGAGCACCTGGTGAACAGGGCTCTACCCTTGGGGCCCGATCGGGCACAGCCCGAAGGAGCAGCATGGGTTTGCTTTCCTGTGGACTCACCACCTGCAGGAAGAGCCATAAAAGTCGGGTGCATGACTCCATGGGCAGTGGCTGAAGGCGGGGGCCTTAACGCTCTGACCCTGGTTTACCAAAGCTGCTCTTGGGACATGGAACGTGACGTGACCTCTCTGGTGTGGAAGGAGACTGCGCTTGTGCGTGAGGTTGAGAGGTACCGACTAGATCGAGTTGGGCTCACCTCGACGCACAACATGGACTCTGGAACTGATCTCCTTGAGAGGGGCTGGACCTTATTCCACTCTGGAGTTGCCCATGGTGAGAAGCACCGAGTTGGTGTGGGTCTACTCTTAGCCCCTCGACTTGGTGCCTGTGTGTTGGGAGTTTTCCCCGGCAGACAAGAGGGTGGTTTCCCTGCACCTTCAGGTGGGGGGATGGGCTCTGACTGTTGTTTGAGCCTACGCGCCGAACTGCAGTTCAGAGTATCCGGCCTTCTTGGAGTCCTTGGCAGGTGTGCTGGAAGGTGCGCCAGCTGGGGACTCCTTTATTCTGCTGGTGGTCTTGAATGCCCACGTGGGCAACAACAGTGTGACCTGGAGGGGCGTGACTGGGAGGAACGGCCTCTGATCTGAACCCGAGCGGTGTTCTGTTGTTGTTGCATCCCAGCCAGTTGGTCTCTGCCAGGGCTGCCCATTGTCACCGATTCTGTTCTCAACTTTTATGGACAGAATTTCTCGGTGCAGCCAGGGGGCGGAGGGTTTCCGGTTCGGAGGCCTCAGGATTCTCTTTGCAGATGATGTGGTCCTACTGGCGTCATCGTGCCGTGATCTTCAGCTTTCACTAGAGCGGTTCGCAGCCGAGTGTGAAGCAGCTAAGATGAGAATCAGCACCTCCAAATCTGAGACCATGGTCCTCAGTCAGAGGGTGGATTGTTCTCTTCAGGTCGAGGGCGAGGTTCTGCCTCAAGTGGAGGAGTTCAAGTATCTCAGGGTTTTGTTCATGAGTGAGGGAAGAATGGAGCGTGAGACTGACAGACAGATTGGTGCAGTGTCTGCAGTCTCGTGGACTCTGTACCGGTCCGTTGTGGTGAAGAGGGAGCTGAGCTGTAAGACAAAGCTCTCCGTTTACTGGTCGGTCTACGTTCCTCCCCTCTGGTCATGAACTCTGGTAGAGACTGAAAGAATGAGATCGTGGATCCAGGAGGTTGACATGAGTTTCCTCTGCAGGAGCTGGACTCTCCTTAGAGACAGGGTGAGAAGTTCAGTTATCAGGAGAGACTCAGAGTAGAACCACTGCTCCTCCACATCCAGAGGAGACAGTTGAGGAGGTTCATCTGGGAAGGATGCCTCCTGGGCACCTCCCTAGGGAGGTGCTTCAAGCATGTCCAACTGGGAGGAGACCCCGGGGAGAGACTATGTCTCTTTGTTGGTCTGAGAACGCCTTGAAGTCCTCCCAGAAGAGCTGGAAGAGGCTGTGGAGAGACATGTCTGGACCTCCCTGATCAAGCTGTTGCCCCCGTGACCTGACTTCGGAATAAGCGGAAGATGATGGATAAATAATAATAATGATTAATAATAATAATAAAACAGATGAATAATAATAATTCATTAATCAGGTGTTTCAATGAACAGGAGGTGCAGGTTGTAGGGTTTCTATAAATCCATGTGGTTCTGTTGGGTCTCCTCTGAGGTGAGGGCAGGGACGACCAGAATCACATCAGAACTTCATCACACTGAACAGAGTCTAGACCAGTACTTCTTACAGAACTTTAGCTGTATAAGTTCTGGTCAAAGTGTTGAGAGCACAGAGGATTTCCGTGGATCCTTCCTACTGGGCCCATAAAAACAACCAGACTCCAACTGCAGGCAAACTGGACTGGGTCCAACCAGGACCAGCAGCGGTGGCTCTAAAACCCTAGTGGAGGATAAAATGAGACGTGGAGCGAGACAGTGGAGAGTAGAAAAGTTCTGGTCAGCAGCACCTCTTGACTCGGCTGTTCTGACCAACTGACCCAAACAAAGAGGTCAGTGGTGTCACATTCAGTTCTGATGATGAGAACATGCAGAACCTCTTCCTCCGAGTTCTGTCAGTAGAACATTCTGACATTGGCTCCAGCTGATGGAAGGACTGAGCAGAACAGGTCTTCAAAAAAAACCTGAACAGAACCAGACTCCTATCACTGAACAGAACATCCTGGTTCTGTTCATGAAATAAACCTGAAACACCCCATTCTGCAGCTGAACATCAGCCGAAGGTCTCTCACAGGAACACGATTAGTTCGGCTGTTTCTGTGTTTTGGTTCAGCTAAAGATGAAGATATGAAGCAGGCGACTCAAACTGAAAACACTTTAATTGATCCAAACATCCGGACTGAACATCTGGACAGAACCAAACAACCGAACTGAACATCTGGAGAGAGCTTGGCTCCAAAATCAACCGCCTCAGCGATGGAGGTCAGAACAACTCAGAGTCTGAAGAAACGTGGAGGACTCTGCAGAGAATAGGGCTGAGTACCGAACCCAGGTTCTTTTATGGCACCGACAGAACTGCACCGGTCGGTGTATGGATTGAAACGTCACTCTTCTTTCAGTGTCAAGTTTCGGTATTGGCTGTAACGTGTCACGTGGTTTCAGCATGCAGGCTGGTAAAACACCAGACATATGACAGACTACGTGTTTGCACCCAGAGCTGCCGCACCTAATCTATGTATAATGTATGTCTATGGTGCTGGTGACGCCACAGACGGGTTCACGTGTGCAGCGCGTGCTGTCGAACGGTTCCGACAACACACACGACTTTCTGCTTATGAGCAGAAAGTTGCTCCGTGTTTTTCTGCAAGAAGACAGATGGACAGCAGCCCCCCCCCCCCCCCCCCCCCCACCCCCCATCCTCTCAGCGTTAAAGTCAG